TGTGTCTCTTCAAAATGCTGTATAAATGAGTTTAATAAACTTATACTGATTCAGTCACAGAACACCTCCAACTACAATGATGATTGAAATAATGGAATCATGTCTGGGCAGTACAACACTGAAGTAGAGTAGCTTTGAAGTGTCATAATATACCTACTAGTAAACAAGCCAAACAAACAAATGAAAGTCAGCATTGAAGAATTGAGGTCTGGGGGAAATGGCTACCACTGAAATTAGAAGAATGAACAGGCAGGGTGGTAAATCCCAAATTAACAGCCATGTGAAGAAATTTTTGTGTGAAACAGGCCTGGTCCCATGAAAGGAAGTCGAAACAGACCTAATGAATTGCCAGAGGTTCGATGTGGACAAACTCGAGAGTGAAACTTGATGGCTCACATATCCATGTTGTGTTCTATGACCACTCGATGCATACCGTGTACTTACTTGCTGATGTGACTGTCATGACAGTCACAGTTTCATTTTGCACACGAGGAAGCTGAGGCGCATGAAATGTCAGGAAGTGGATATAAGTCAGTTGGCTAAAACCATCTTAATTTTTAAATCTTGGACTGTTAGATTTACAGAAACACTCCCTCAGAACTCTTGGTGATGGCAGGGCTGTATTTGCTTGACACTAGCTACCAATAACCATGCAGGCAAGGTGATAAGCACCAACCAGTGACCAATGCTCAGACATGTGGAAAGCCAGGCTACACGCTTCAAAAACTACCTACCCCTCTTTTTTTTAAGTTTTTATATTTATTTTTTACACTTTTTTATTAAATACTTAGATTAGAAACAAGCTTGCTTCCCATGTCAGTCCCAGCTCCCTCTCCCTCCCCTCCACACCCACTTCCCTCCCACAAGCCCCACCCAACCCCCCACCCAATCCCCACTCCATTCCATCCACGAGCAATGCCGGTTTGACCAGATGCTGGATAGACATGAGCCCTGCTTTAGCAGTGAGGTTATTTTATTGAATTTACAGTTTTTACAGTTCACAGAAACTACCCATCAAAATGGAATTAATCAATATGGAAATAGAAATTCTTGTAGGATCTCTGATAGTATAGGATTTGAGAAGAGAAATTTGTTGTTTGGACACTTTAAGAATGTATGTACTTCAGCTGAAAAATAAACTTAAAGAAGCAACAAAAAAAATAAAACTACCCCTCACATGGGAACCATAGTGAGGAGAGGAGATAAGAGAAGAATTAGGAGGTAGTATCACAGTGAACTTCTTTTATGCATGTATGAAAATGTCACAATGCAATGCAACTCCCTGTCGTGTACAGTTAACACATGCTGATAAAATGTTATATAAAATATCACATCCTCCACCCCTGACAGTCAGGAATCATTCTTCCTCTCCACCCCATCTATATTGTCTCTCTGCACACAGCTGTTTGCCCATACCCAAAGACCATCTGAAGATATGACAGTCCCTTATAACACCATTATTTAGACCTCATCACGCTTTAGGCTCTGCACCACATCCCTCCCAGGACAACTCCAGCCTAAGACATTATGCTGAAAGATGAATATGTGATCTCCAGGTGAGGTGTGCTGCTAGTAATTAAACAGTATTAATTGTATCAGCTTTAATTTACATTCTAAGCTCTCAGTAATAAGGCTCAGCATTCTATTTTCTTTCTGACTAGCACTGAGTAATAGAATTGGTGTTTAGGAATTATCATATAAATCTATTTTTTGGTCAGTCAGTATTGGGGAATTTTTTAATATATTACAAATGTATTCATTATTCTCAAGTTGGTAAAAATAATTAAAAACTACAGGCCAAGCACAAATTCCCAGGGCATAAAAACATGACTGGCACTCTACTACCAAACACTGAGGTTGCCAACTTCTTGGTTTGAGGCTTTAATGAGAAATTACTTCCATATTTTCATGTACTAAAGGACTCAGGTGGAAAGTCCTACCTTCGCAGGAGTATGGAGACAAACATTCTGCCTGTCAAAATGAAGCAGCCTTGTCATTTTGGGTATATTTTTAACAACCTGCCAATTGTCTATTTTGAAACATAATCTATATGTTTAATGAAATAAAGAAATTCTTAAGTGTGACTACAAAGTTGTAGAGAACATGTGTTCACATAAAAAGAAAAGGAAAATTCAAAAATAAAACAATCAAGGGAGAAATAAACAAGAAATTCAAGTATGTCTAACCTATCACTAGGTTTCCCTTTATATAAAACATTGCCATCCCCACTTTCAGGGGGCCTTCCAGATTTTCAATAACGTGTGGATGGGGCCCAAGCATAATGAACAACTCTTGATGTTCCATTTAAAGAATTCAAATTCTGATTCTTGGACAGGCAAAGCACAACCAATCTAGTTCTTAAATGATAAGAGAAACCACTAAGTACAATATTAATTGAAATACCATAGGGACTGTGAGAATTTTGTGGACAGAAGGGGAAGTCCATGAGGGTTTCATGCTTTCTTGTTACTGTTGCTTGTTTTTCCATCATAACACCAGGGTAATTTATACTGGTTATATGACTAATGGAGGGGGGGACATTGTGTGGTCCACCTTTGGAATGAAGAGCTGGCCCTTTAAGCCATAAGAGGGCTGCAAAAGGCCACAGCTCTGGGAAGAAGTGTGGGCATAAGCAATACAAATGTTTATTTCACCTGGTAGACCAAATGTGACAGATTGTTTTATCTACAATGGAATATTAATTTTCTGGTTTTGGAAAGGAAAACACAGTGCTCATTTATATTGTTGTAAAACTTGTGAATTTGCCCCATAGGATAAGTAATACTCAAAGCAGCATCCTAATTAAAAGGAAAACTCAGTTGCCGTGCAAGATAATATAAGAGAGCATATAAATCGTAAACAAGATGCATGGTAAAAATGAAAACGACAGGCTGGATTGGAAAGGAATGAAATAAGCTTTGGAAATGTGCTTCTTAAATGAACACAAATTGTGAGATAATGTCTCATTGAACAATAAAAATAACAAACCAGTGGCAAAGATGTAATAGAATTCCCCATGTATACCATTTTAATCTTAATATAATTTTCCCCGGTGCATCCATGTTTATTGAACTACTATGACCGATTCCTTCTGACTCTTTCCAAAGTTACTGAGATTGTGTTCTCCACTGTAAATAATTCCCTTATAATGAACACAAAAACGATCCAGAAATTGACCACAGTTTATAGGAGGAAAAATGACATTTCATCTACTCACAGAAAAGGCTTTCTAAGGATGCCAAGTCTATACATAGTTTCCTCAGGGAAACAGCATGAGGGGACAGGAATCCCTTCACTTTTCCTACTGGGTCATCAATTTAATGCCTTTGTTTCTTTTCTTGTCCAGAAAATACAGAAAGGACACCCAGAGAATCTAACATGTAGGGTGTTGGATAAAGAACTAACATGAGACATCCTAGGATCAGTTAATAACTATAGATATGACTTGAGTATACAGAGTGGACCGCCTCAGTTTCTCACTCTGCAAAGAGGATGATGACACTGCCTATCATCACATAAGGACAGAACTGTACATAGGATGGGTGTGCTGGAGGAAGAAATGGAGTCCTCAAAGGAGCCCTGTAACTACTATTGCATCCCACTGAAGAAGCTCAGTAAACCATAAACTCCAACCAACCCCATAGACATTTCAAATATCTTAGTTTCTAATGTAGTAAATCCCTGCCTCTCCTTTGCTTACACTCATGTTGGCAATTCAAAGTATGTGTTTATTTCATGAGATTTTTAAAATAAATATTTGTAGAAATACAGCCAAGCCAAGGCTCAAGGGACATTACAGAAGAGAGAGAGGAAAGGCTGTAAGATCCAGAAGATAGGGTCTTGTACTATGAAGTGCTGTCTCCTGGACATAACACAGAACTTGCACTCAGGGACTCACTGCAAATATGGTTACCTGCACAGGAGCAAGTCACCAAGAGCAGTCAATATTCCAGCATGAAATGCTAATTAGACTATTCATTTTTTTAAGAAGAAAGGACGTGAAAATGGGAAGGAAAGAAAGGGAAGGTTTTGGGGAGAGTGCATGGCAGAGTAAAACAGGGCATAGACAGGATTGAGGAACATTGTATACATGCATAAAATTGTTAATAATGAAATATTTTAAAATGAAATATTTTTCAAAAATATATGAAAATATGTAACGGTGGAGATCGTGGCCTGTTTGTCACTTTGCTTTGAATTTGGTGTTGCTGTGTAACTGAAATCTGGGATTTTGTTAAATATTGATGCAAATACTGCTACTGGGGTTAATGGTGCAGCTTGGTGGTAAAGACTAGCGGGCACAAACTGAAGTGTTCCATCCATGACATTGGCAAACAAAAACAAAAACAAAAACAAAAGCAAAATCAAGGCAAAGCAAAATATTTTCCTTCCATTCAAAGCCTAATTCATATTTTATTATTTTCTGAAGTTCATTAGACAAAAGAAAGATATATATTTAACAAATCATTAACAAAATAATATTATAAGCACATTAACAGATACATTTAATTAAATATATTACTAGTTCTTTTGTTGGACAGAATGCATACTGTGGTTTTTAGCTTTGCAATTTTGTACTAGATTAAATACTGGAAATTTTAATGAATCAAACACTAACAGAGGTCTCCTGAAGAAAAATAACAATGTACCCAAAGTAAGTAGGTGCACATTTCTGCTGTTAGAGCTGCTAGTCAACAGTGTATTATCTTCATAAACTCATCATTCTTTTTCCAGGAATTTTTTCTAAGAGTTTAAATTGAAGCTTTCAGATATACCTAATTATTTAAATGAAAATCAATTTCTGTGATTCTCTTTTTCACTACCTAAGACACTTTCTAAGAAAATAGAGTAGAGGTTCTCAATGGATACATTCTTAGGATCCAGGTTTTACAATCACAGATCATTGAAGACAGAGACAACCTGAGATTGAGACAACATCCTGAAGTATCCTCCCGTATTTCCAGCAGCGGTGGCATCTATAAAGGACATTTCTCAGTTACCTTCTTGCAGAGGGCCTTCCAGGCCATTGTTTCTGATGACCTTGGCATATTCCTTGGCTGACTTGTATGGGATTCGGGGTCTAGCAGGATCTTCAAAATCAACATGGAAGAGGCCAAACCGTCTGCTATATCCATTGTTCCACTCAAAGTTATCCAGAAGTGACCACGCACAGTATCCTTGAAGGTTGACTTCATCAATATGGATAGCTGAAATGTTTTTTAAAAGAGCCATTAGCACTTTTGAGAAAGTCCTGAATACAAATATCCCTGAAGAGCACTGGGCACCTTTTCCTCCTGCTGGGGGTCTCAGTGGCAACAGACACAATTCTTCCTTGACTTTTTAACCACAGACACAAAATTGAAATAAAGTAAGCTTTGGATCTAATGCATATGTTAATTAGTTTGATTTAGTTATTTGCTTCATCAAAGCATCAAGTCCCACACCAGAGCATAAAGGAATTGTTATCACTTAAAATAATGCCCCTTTACAGTTTTATGTTTGACCTGAACAGGAGCTTCAATTCAGAAGTGAAGTCACAGATGGGCATGGGTAACACATTGCCCACAACCCCAGCTTAGAGAAGTCTGACACAAGAGAATGGATGCAGGTTCTACTTAATGAATTGTAGATCATCCTGGATGGCATAGTGAAACATTACCCCCAAACTATAAGAAATTACTTGTTGTTCTAATAGTGCAATCAGTCATTTAGACATTTGTTTCATTCTTTTATTCTCTTAATATACATTTCCAGTGCCTTTTCCAGCATACACACACACACACACACACACGCACACATGCACACACAAGCTTTTCTCATACCCAGAAGTGTATTCAGCTAGAAAACACCATCAAACATCATAGTATAGCTCCTAATATCTGAGAACATCCCTTGGTCAGTAGCATGCTCAGAGAAACCTGTCCTTTATGTTCTCATGAGCAAGCTGGCACATGCCTTATAACTCTGAAATCAGAAACACCAAACTGAAAAAAGTGGGTACACAGTTCTAGCCTTGTCTATAGGTAAGTATGAAATGCATAAATATATCATAGCAACCTCTATCACTTGGCCTCTGTAGCACAATCACAAAGACAAGCTAGCTTGTAAATAGCAGCCAATAATTTGTCATAGTTCAAAGAAACAAGAAGTCCTAAATCAAGATGATGGTAGCTTCAACATCTTATGGGGGACTTTATCCATCTTTATTAATGGCACCTTCTTGCTATATCTTGATGTGGGAGGAAGGGCAATTGAGTTCCTTCGAGTCTCTTCATATATGGTTATCAACCCCACTGATGATGACTCTTTCATCACTACCTAATCATGCCCCCAAATTCTCACCTTACAATGCCATCATCTTGAGAGCTAGAAATTTTGGAAAGACTCAACAAGCATTCTATTGTCTATGCCCCTCCCATCTAGACTCAGAGTGATGCTTTAGCCCTTTAAGATCCAAAGACAGGACTGTATACACAACATCAAGGTAGACAAAATCCCAGCATGGATGGGGGAGTCCCACCTCTAGGTGAGGAGCCATTGATGGCTTCTGGCAAAAACAGTATCAGTTTTCTTCAGGTCTGTGGCCTCTGAAAGACTATCCATGCTCCAGTAGGTGGTCCTACAACCCATTCATATACAGGCAGCACTAATGAATTTGGTGGTATAGTTTGAATGTAATTGGCCCCCATCATCTATAGGAAGTGGCACTATTAGGAGGTGTGGCTATTTGTTGGAGTGGGTATGACCTTGTTGGAGGAGGATTATGTCTCTGTGGGGTATGGCTTTGAGATTTCCTATTCTAGGAGTACCTCCCAGTGAGTCAGTTGATTTCCTGTTGCCTGCAAGACACAGAACTTTCTGCTTCAGTACACTCTTGCCTGCACGTCCACCATGCTCCTCCTCATGATGATAATGAGCTGAACCTTTGAAACTGTAAACGAGCCACCCAAATTAAATATTTTCTTTATAAGAGTTCCCATTCATGGTCATGCTGGGTGGTGGTGGCGCATGCCTTTAGTCCCAGCACTCGGAGGCAGAGGCAGGCAGATGTCTGTGAGTTCGAGACCAGCCTGGTCTACAAAAGCAAGTTCAGGACAGCCTCCAAAGCCACAGAGAAACCCTGTCTCAGAAACCAAAATATAAAACATGGAGTTAGGAGGTGAAAGTCATGGGATAACATAGGAGAAATTCAAGAGAAGGGAGTAAGGGGAAGGTTTAGTCAAAACACATTATAAATATAGGTAGGAAATTCTCAAATTAAAGAAAGGAAAAAAACTAAAAACATGATTATTTCAGCCAAAACTGCACATGAACATGAATACAATATTCTCTATCATTTCTGTGAGTTCTCTTAGTTTATCATTTCATTCCATGCCAGGGTACCAGTTATTTTCATTGTATGAAGTGGGGAATAGAGCTTATATTTTTAATTAGTATTTTAAGTCTCTCAGAATTCTGAGATTGTGTAAATCTTTGTATTGAGCATTTTCTTTGTGAAAATCACAGTCAAAAAACCTGGTCTATGACCCACTAAGACCCATTTCTCCATTTGTAAATCAAGTGAAAGACTAGCTTGTTTAACAAGATGACCATATCCCTTAATAAGCAAGGAGAAAATTAACTTTCATATAATAAATCATATTTTAATTGTACTCAGACTGTTTTCATCCAGTGTGATCCCTATAGCTAAATGTTTATCAAATCAAGCTCTACTCTCATTTTTTTCTTTGCTATCAGTCTGTATTTTTCAAGTTTATTAAGATACACTATACACCTCTTCTAGACTATATCCATGGGTCTCCAATTGTTTATAGAGTTAGGTATTATGCAGACAAAATATCCCTGACAAGTTATTTGATGCATGACCTCAGATACAATTGTACCAAGAGACAAGCAACTTGTTTTGATTAGAGAGTGTTTTATAAATGATATAGGGAAAGAATTAAGTCAAGCTCTGTTGACATTTTAAATAAAATTATGCTTAGAAAATGAAAATATAGAACATTCAAACATATTAAGCCTTGCAAGACTAAAAATACTTATGAGAATCCCTTCTCTTATCTGTTGTCATTTGCATGTATGTCTGCCTTTGCCAAGTATAATATGGAAAATTCCCTTTCTTTTAATATTATTTTAGGAAACCAATTTAAGTACAGAATGACACATCTCTATCTCAAAACTACAAAAGGCCCATACTCAGATAGAAAACAGTAATCCCCTTTGATTTGTAAATCTGTTTGGGTCTATGTGAAAACGTGCATGTTTTCTTTCGCACTTGTAGAACTACTACTGCCCAACAAGAAAGCCTGCCAGGTACAAAGCCAGACAGTTTCTTGAAATCACACATAGTCCCACTGATCATATACAAAAGGACTGATTCATGTGCTAAACCGGGGGATAAAAATGAGGCCCTGCCTGCTTGGAAGGGAACAAAAGGAAATCTTGACAATTTCATTGTTAGCTGCCAGGAGTGCAGCAGCAAGCACTAAACTGCCCGAGTGACACTGGTGGATGTCTCTGCATTTTCACTGCAGGAACACTCAAGTGGAGAATTACCTAGTTAGGTTCAGGAGCTAGCCTGCTGGAATCCTTCTCACCAGGCCATCACTGGGAAAAAATTACAAAACCACACCGGAACCTGCACGCTTCTCCTCTTCCAATCTCCTCAGGAACAGAAAGAGACCGTCATCACATTTCTTGTCACCATGATTTATGAGGTCCCAGATCTTGGCAGAGGAAAAAGCACTTCTGAGAATTTGCCTTCTTTCTTTAACCAGAGTTGGAGGCAAAATCAACATGGACCAATAGGAGTTTGGACAGCTCAACAGCATGCTAGGATAAAAATGGTACCTATTGTAGAATCAGAGTGTAATATGAAATAAGACTCTGGAAAGATGCAGTGATAAAAGCTTTTAGGCTTGCTTCCAGTCAAGGTCTTCTAGGTACAAGAACCCCACATTAGCATTATATTCTTCATAGTTGTATATCCAAACACATGTGTGTGTGTATGTATTTATACACACTATTTTGTATGTATATATGTCTATGTATACTATGAATAATTTGTCCAAAAACAGCCAAATTAAAAAGAAAGAAGGCAAACATTAACCCAAAATAACCCTCACATACTTGCTCAGCTATGATCATTAGGAAATGTCCTTCAGCTGATAAATGGATAATAAAAATGTAAATATATACAATGGAATAATGTTATTCATCAGTGACAAATGAAAATTTCAAGTAGATGAATGGAAGTAGAAAAGATCATATTGAGTGAGGTAATCCAGACCCAAAAAGACAAACATACCATGTTCTCTCCCATCTGAGGCTCCTAGCTCCAAGTCTATATGTGAGTATATAACCTGGAGTAACTGCAGAAACCAAGAAGGTCCAAAAGAGTTACCGAGAGGGGAAGAACAGGGCACAAGGGGGAAATGGGGTGCTTCAACTGGTGTGGGTGAGGGAGACAGAAGAATGAGGAAAGAAAGTAAGATAACAGTAAAGATATCTTAAAAAGTCTTAAGGAAGCATTATTACCTAAAATTATTGATAATACATATAAGTCTGTGAACATACACACACACACTATATATATATATATATATATATATATATATATATATATATATATAGCTTAGATTAAATTTTCCCATCTGAGCTGACAGTGCTCCCTCCAAAGATCCACACTACCAAACAAAAACCTCAACACCAGGCATGAGAAGCCCTCTTTTGAGCTGTTCATCCGGGTTTTCCAAAGGATTCCCAAAACATATGCTATTGGTACTGCCTTTGTCCCCTCCCTCAGAGGTGGAAGATAAGTTCCCACTGCTGAAGATGCCATGCAGATCAGACACAGAGTCTGGAGGACCTGAGCTGGACCTAACCTGAAAGCCTCCTCCCTGAGGCCTAACTTTCATGATACCATGCAAGCTTTCAAGAGGAAGAAAACAATAGTCCTCCCCCACCAGAATGCCTATGGACTATCACAATAATGAGCAGCATGGCACAGTAATATTGAGAGGCATGCTTAGCATGTTTAGCAACAGTTCTCTAAGTGGTCTTAAGGCCTGATCAAGAGGAAAAAGATGCCTGCTACTGGCAACCTAGCCAACTACCCATGGCTACTGTAGTCATAGATCTTGGCAGAGAACCTACAATATAACCCCTAACTCCTTCTAAATATTTATCCTTATATCCACAGATAAGT